TTGATGATCTGTTCAGGTCCCTTCCGACCCAACCAACTATGAAACTATGAAATGTTATAGGCACTGTTTCCTTGGGAGACATCTACAGTAGCAGCTATCATACACATGAAGCATGTGGAACTGTACCAGCAATTTGCTGCTGGTTGGTAACATCCATCCCAGAAGCTGACTCGTATCAGATTGGAATACCTGGATAAAAACAGAAATACCACTATCCTTATCAGCTTCTCCCATGACAGGTTTTCCACTGCTTTTCCCCCTCTCCCTGGGACTTTACTGCTGGGCAACAGAGCAGTGCTAGTAATGTAGATGCCACTGAACTATTGTGCTGCCTTTTCATACTAGGCCATTCTTCCTCTGCAGGGATATCAATTTGGCCCTACAACTTAGATTCCCTGCCATGTATTTGTATAACAGATAAAGCATGCAGCCAGAGAAGCATGTTTTATAGTTCAAAGAGCAATATCTTTGATATCCCCTAAACTTCTTCCCGTACCCACCTACGAAAGTGCACTGCATTTGCAAATTGAACCTCAGCTCTACACCCTGCAGACACAGTTGGCTGGTCCTCTCCCATCATACGATTTTTATCAGCCCTTGTTAGGAACAAGTGTCATTAGCAGCATTTTATTGTGTTACTGATGGGACAGCCTTTGTGGGGTGAGCTTCAGTGTGAAGGAATCATTCCAGGGGCTTATAACATTTCTTAGCCTCTGATATCTGTTTGAGTTGCCAGGAGGGTGAGAATAAACTCGGATTCCCTCTGGAAAAGCCTGCCAGGTGTGATCATGGGTGTGAGCAAAAATACCAGAGGAATGGAGCAGCTTGACAAGGAGAATCCAAAAAGTAGAGCCTAAATTCAGCCATGAACTCTGAACTATATACAGCCTAGGCGATAAATGCAAGGACTTCTTGAGCCCATAGAAGTGATGACACCAGACAATGAATAGGTTGTAACATGATGTTGCAGAGAAGCACATCCTGTGACAGAGCCCATGAAGGACTTAATCTCCTCTCTGCATAAGGACAGCTCCCTGCTTGCCCTGGTTTCAGGGGCGGCTGCCACAGAAAGGGTAGTGGGGGAAGGCTCTGTACACACAGGCCTGACCTAGAAATGGAAAGTTCATCCCACAAAAAAGCAAAAAAAAAAACCCAGATGAAGAATCCCAAATTGGAAAGAAAATTCAAAATCTTGATTTCCTCCCTTCCCAGTTCACTTGGTTCTCTGGGCTCCCCCGATAGCTGGCTGGCCAGTGCCCCACTGGGACGGTCATCTTACTGAGCAGCCTGGGGACCTGGTGTCTTGCCAGGAGGGGAACTGGATATCTGGAACATTTCAGTGTTTCCAAAATACAATCTCCACTTCTTATTAAAAAGATGCTTGGTGATAAGACAGACAAGGACTTCGGCAGCCAAGGAGAGGGGCTGCTAGGGTCAGGGGACCCTGGGAGTTTGCAGGTTCTTTTGGTATGCAGCCCCCCAGTTGCCTAGTAGTCATCTGGCAAATCCTAGAGAAGCAGGATTGGAAGGGACCCCAAGAGGTCATTTAGTTCAACCCCCTGCCTAAGGCAAGAAAGATCTTGTGGCTCGTCACCTGTGACCTTGGTGTTAATTTTATTTTAATGCACAAGAAAGACTTTTAAAGCATCTGGAAATCCCACTCATGCAAATGGACATGCAGTTGCAGTGCACAAATGGACAGAAAACGTGGTGTGTACATACGCCCATTAACATCATTCTTTAACCAGCTGAGCTAGCCAGGGAGAGCAAGGATCTTAGTGCAGATGATCCTTGAATCCTGGCCTTCCCACCTGCCTGCTCTCTGTCAAAGGCTGTGATGGGATTGACAGACATGTCAATGATGAGGCATGTGTGATCCTGTGGAATCAGCATTTTCCTAAGGAAAGCTGAAGAGTCACAGAAGAAAGTGAATGCTGTACCCTCCACTGTTTGGCATACCAGGCACTTTCAGGAGGAGAATGGCAAGATTTTGGGGAGGTGAGGAAGGAGAATGCGTTCAAAATATGGTCCCACTGATGTTACTGGGGCTGGGATTTCATCCTCTGAGCACCCCAAGCAAAATGAAGTGAGTGGTGTTTTTTTGCTAAGAAGGGTCAAAGCAGCCCTCCTTATGACAAGATACACCAGCAAGAAGGACGTGGCCTTCTTCTTGCTGCTCCCGCTGGGCAGTGGGCCTGCACAGAAGGCTAGTAATTAATTTCTATAATAGAGCCCGAAGAGTTTAAGGGCAAAAATAAAAGCACTGCCTATAGTCTTCCATTCAGCAATCATGTCATATTAAATATAGTACCCGGCAGGGCCATTTGATGGAAATAAGCACTACTGTGCACTTTGCTGGCCTGTAAGGCCATATTCAGTATGTCAGACTTTGGCATAGGCTGAAGGCCAGAGTGGATTCTGAGAATACTTGAACAATAGAGAGTCATCATTGGCCACAGGTGCTTCCTGAATTGATCTTTTAGCTCTGCTGTTTCAAATTAAATTTGCAGCAGCTGCGGCCTCTGATCTGCTCAACTCATTGGAATCTGGAGGAGGCAAACCTTTTTTTTATCCCCGCTCCCTTTCTGAAGGAGCAGAGAAAGAGAGAGAAAAAACGACTGATTTGCTCCGGAATGTGCTCCCTTCCTCATTGAACAGAGGCCAAAGCCCAAAATGTTTGCTGTTATCATGGGGCAAGGTAATGAGATTTATGTTTAGCCATCCATTTCCCATTGCTTCTCTTTAGGGCCCGCGATCAGGTCCAAACAGAAATCAAATCACATTCAAATGTTGCGCTAGCTCACCCAGCAAATATACTCAGGAAATGTTTTCGTGCTATAAAAGAAAAAGTTGATTCAAGAATAATTTCAAAAATGCTTATTTGCATTGTTACACATTCAGAATATGGTTTGATCTTTTCTGTTTCTTTTTTTTTTACATAGAGGTTAAAACTTTAAGGAGGGAGCATTCAGAGGGCGTAAGGGCTGCATTTACAAAATGGGGAGAGGCTCCTTATTACACAGATAGGCATCAAATGGGGTCATGAACTGTCTTATCAGGTTTGATGCCCAAATGCCAAACAAGCCAATGGGAGTTGTACTTTTAAACTGCTGACATGCTCTTGTCAATAAAGGGCCTTTGTACCTTTTTTTGTGACTAGGTGCTATTGTAAAATCTGACCCATTCATATTTTCAAGGCTTTTTTACCTTAATCTGGTAGGCCCAGATTTTCAAAGGTGGGTTTTTTTTGGAAACCCAGCATGGTGTTTCTCTGCATCAAAATCTTTAAAACCTCATCCTCTCTAGCAGTTTTGAAAATGCCATCCTACTCCAGTGGGCTCTAGCCTCTTCCTTCTTACCCCCGCAAGGGCTGCATTGTAATCCTATCAAAGCCCTTGGGTTTCCCACTGCCAATTTATTTTATTAGTTAATCTTCTTGCTGCTACTGCCAGTCCCAGGTGTGGTCCAGAAGTCCCTCATTCTATATAGGATTAACAGATGTAAAACAGACACCACTTGCATTTTGCTCTTGAATATACCTGTTACGTGCAAGCTGAGCAGATGCACTGACTTGAGCACAGGCTCAGCAAGGAGGATAATATGCCTGTGATACATCTGAGGGAGTATACGGTCCACTGTCAAAAGGCACTATGGCAGCATAGCTGATAACCTTGAGCAGCAAGCAAGCTAGTTTGCTTGATGGCTGGTTTTGTGGGCTGCTGCAGTGCCTGAGAGAGGCAGATTTACTTACCTTTTTACATGGCACTGTGTCTGCCCTGCCTAAGACTTGCTGCCTCAATACAAATACACACTGAGAATACAATTTGTGTGGCCTTGAAGAGCACAGAATACACCTAGTGGTCATATCGCTGTCCCAAAAGAAATCTATAAAGGCGTTCAGAACAATATAGAGGGTCCTTTTTGGTGGGCTGACCCCGCAGTTGCTACCGATTCTGGTGCTGACATAACTTAGTCCTTTCTAGTCAAAACTAGGAATTAAGGCTTGGGAGAAATAACATTTTTCAAAATTAATTTGAGAAAATGTGTAGGTTCAATCCTTTTTGTCTGGGAATGAGTGAGCTTGTTCGGGTAAGGAAAGGACAGGCAAAAATATTAACCTGAAGCGTTAGCTGTCCCTGAAACAATTTTTTCTTCATCTTGAATAGCTTCTGTGTTGAG